AAGCATTATAACCAGATTTCTTAATGAAATTCGCTATAGCCAGCCAGAATACTCGAAAATGATTGGCTTGGAGAAAAATCTTCGTTATAAACAGATCTTCGTTATAACCAAAGTTCGTTATAGCCAGCTTTGACTGTAAGCACGCAGCAATTAATCCCTTGATATTAACAATAAGACAAACATGTCTCCTCCGCGATATAACAACAATATTTCCTCCACCTTAAAGACATTTGTTTATACAAAATGCGTTATGCGCCGTCCCTTGCATTCTCAGAAGAAGGCATATATTAATAAAATATTATTTTCTCCACCTTAAAGACATTTGTTTATACAAAATGCGTTATACGCCGTCCCTTGCATTCTCAGAAGAAGGCATATATTAATAAAATATTACCGTCTTCTCTTTGCCCGTCACTTCTCTCAAGGGCCAAAACGCACAGTAATATTCCATTCAGCAGGCAACAGCGCAGCGCTGAATTGGTGAAGATAAGGAGGCCCCTACTCGCGGTGAAGGAAGGGGTTTCCTTACCATATCTCGTATTTCGCGGTCGAAGAAAAGAAACACCAGGACGCAAACTTTTTAACCTCGTACTTCGCGGTCGAGGAAAAGAAGAAAAGGAAGAAGCCTTTTCACATTGTACCTCGCGGGTCGAGGAAAAGAAGAATCGGCCAGAGCCTTTAACGTCACGCTAACGCGGGCTCATTACACGTAGTCACAGAATGGCAACTTTCCTACGTTTATCGGCCATTATTTACCTCACGGAGAAGAAGTGGATGAAGCATGTTTGCGGTCGAGGAAAGAAGAGGAAAATTGGAGGGAACTGGAGGGAAGAAGGGGGCGTGGAGTGAAGAAGAGGAAAATTGGAGCGAGCAGAGACTCCAATTTGTTACAGGCAGGCAGACTCAATAGTCATGTCTGCCAAGAAAAATATCCGGGGGCGGGGTGGTTTTGTTATTGAAGTTGGTTGTTTGATACGTTTAATCGAGATTTTAATTAGTTTATAGAATAGATATGGGACATTGTCTTTTAGTAGGCAGAATTCTTATAAACGGATGTATTTCTTTTCATCTCACTATTCTCTTTCACATATCGTTCCTATATTTCTTATTCATGTAATATCAAACTTGATATTGTCAATAAAAATTCCATTTGATATTTAATCCGTTAATCCCGAATTTCGAATGAATAGTTTTCATGGTTTAAAGAAAGTACGCTAATACTAATATCGCCGGATTAATACCAAGATTACTCCGGTTCGGGTAACTACAATCACGTGATTGTATTGCCAGCCGGTAAAGATCCATACATATTTAATCACGCACATTGTCAGTTCCTCGATACTTTTGTGACGGCAGGATCCTAACACATAGCGTGTTTTCAATCGTTTTCGTAAACGGGTAATCGCATGCGTCTATCAATTGTTCATGGCTCTTTTTGTTATGGCTGTTTCTACATGTTAATAAACATCAGAAATCACTGTGGATGCATCAATATGTGAAGTTTGGTCGCATATACTTCTGATATGATTTGGATTTACGCACCTGTTCCATATGCCTCAATTATCCTTTCCGAAACTGGCGCGAACTGAATTTCCATCGGTACGCTGCTTCAAGTGTTCCCCTTTCAACAATTTCAAAGTACATTTCATCTTTCCTTCACGGTACTTGTTCGCTATTGGCTTCTCGCCCTAGGAAGAGTTCACCAGCTGGTTCGAGTCTTGCAAGTTGCCAGGATCATATTCCATATATTTGGGCTAAGTGTCGTATCCTATATAATCAATAGGTACAGAACGTTGAGGCAATGATTGGATATCGTCTAGAATTCTAAGAGTTTAAACATCTTACCAGGTCATTCATGTGTTATTGTGGCAGACTCTTATGAGATCCAGATTCTCAGCATATTCGCCACCATAGTTTGAACTTGTGAATTGGTTCTGGATTGTCGGATTCAGAGAATACTTCGATTTTTAGATCTAAAAAGAAAATGAATTATACAATTAGAAGCGAAGAAACATGAAAACTTTAATACAACTTGAGTTTACGGATGTTGATAGTGGCTTCTTACATATAAATGTTATCATACATTTCTATACATTCCGACATCTCAACAGCACGTTTTTCCTTTCACTTCGTCGTGTTGAATACAAAACCTTGTTCATCCCCATTAAAGTCATACCTATTTCTGCACCAAGTCGCCCATAACGGTCTGACACCAGTAACGCGTCCTCCAAAGACGGATCAATCTCGACCGCAAGAAGGATGACCAGATTATACGTGCGGTTTACATGGCTTATCTTCAGTATCGGCACGGAAAGCTTAGGCCAAGTC